GTAATATCGAATTAATTGTTCTTTCGACAAAGAGAGCCACCGCCGCTCGTGTATTGCAGAGGTCCCGACATAAAAATCTCTTTCTCTCCCTCTTTCCCTCTCTCTCTCTCTCGAGGGTAATGGATATCGCCACCGTGAAAGCGCGGATTACGCCAAAGAAATGTTTTAATTTATCAAATCAGATAATCGACTTTGCTTTTCTTCGCGATCCTCTCCTATCGATTCGGACTTTTTGCATCGACTTGTTCAATGACACCGATCCTTACTCTCATTTCATCAAACGCAAATGACTATTAGTCATGTTCAATGTGCGTTTGTTCCTTTTATCGGCGCGCCTTCCATTTACAACTTTCTGACTGTTGGCTGCAAGTAGAACAAAACTATTGTAGTCAGACAATGTTCTCTAAACGTAGCAGCCACACGACAGCAAAGTCGTTTCCCAGAGGGAATCGAAAGAGGGAGAGCGGATTGCTCAATTGGCGATACTTGTCGGAATAGTGTAAGGCCTTTGCGGTGTCGGTTATATCCCAATAACACAGTACTGTAGCGTTTTCCAGCCCTTTCCAACTGCTCAATATCACGTCTAGTCCTCGAGAGCATCCCCACAAAGCCTTTCCCCAACACACGAATTCCACTGTGGCTAACTATTAGTTTTGGGATTAGGACAACAAGGCTTTCGACAGCGACGGAACGGAGTAGCAATTTGATCGACGAGTGGCACGCAGCGCTGTTTGCCCGCCTTACCAAGAAAAAGATTCCGCCTCGATAATTGACTTTGTCAAGCACTCATCGTCTCGACGTTCTTAACGAGCTCTTAATGTCGCTCTCGTACGTCGAACGGAAGACAAGTGCGCGTAGAAGGCTTGCGTAACTTCCGATGAAACCTTCGATAAGGGCTGTCGACTAGCTACACACCAACATTTACCTAACTTCTCGCTATTTTCACTGAAATAAATGAGCGAATGAATAAACGAACGCTGAAAATATTAAATGTCGTATTCCGATCAAATATATCGCCCACTTTTTCAACTTCGAATCGGACTTTCAGCACGGAATTCATCTGGTACAACAGCAGCGAGAGTCGTCCATTATACTGTCGGACAAAAAACGCGCGATCGTTCACTGAAATATAATGGCACGGAAAAGCATCGAACGACACGGTCCAAAGAGACGGCGGAAAAAAGTATACGCTCTCGCTCTCTCGTGCGCGAACAAAGGCCAGAATCTCGTTGCTTGGCCTAATAAAGCGGACGCATCGCGATCGTCCTCCTCCTTTCATACGACGGAAATTCGTAGCACGTGATATAGCCAATCTTATCGCTTTAACTGCGATGGTGACTTTTCTGTCAGTTCCGGCGGAGTCCACGAGCCTATACGTTTGCAACAACCACATTTTTAGTGGCATTCGTTCAAGTTGTTCGGATAAATTGTTTTATTTTTGTCTTTTTTTACGAACAATTTTATTTTGTATATATTTTTGGTTTGTCACTTTTATCGAATTATCGTTCGATTCATATGAGTGTCTGTCTTAATATTGACTGTACTACTTGTTTTCCGAATGCAGTCTCGTTCTATAACCAAAATTACTGACATAAACAATATTTCACCGTACAAAAAAAAAATAAATAAATAAAATTACGCGATGCAGACGAAATAGAAAAAAAAAGCTTTGGAAATAAGCAAAAATGAAGAAGAGCTTTCAAACAATTGGAAAGAAGCGCGTCAACGTGACACGCCGATTCTGTCGGGATCGGGAAATAAATAACGACTGGAAATTCATCGCATTAGCAAGGTAATACGTACAACGCACAGACGATAGTTCACGCCTCTCGACTTGCGTTGGTGATAAATAAGAAGCCATTAGCCGACACGTATGAGAAGGTATCTTGTACACACACGCGAGGCAGCAAGTCTCGATGATCTATGTGGCAGAGTCGCCATGTGGTACCCCACCGAAACAGAAGAGGAAGAAGATGATCTATGAATGTGATTCGCGCGATGCAATAAAGAAAAATCATGAAAACGAAAGGCCGCAGACCGAATTCGTGTACGACGATCGATTTTTCGCTCGCGCGACTCGAAGCGACTAAACGAAGCAGCGCATTGTAGCAGCAACGTAATGCGGAATATTTATGGAAGAGGCGCGTCACGCAGATGCGCGCTCTCGCTCTCTCTCTCTCTGTCTCTCTCTCTCTCTCTCTCTCTCTCTCTCTCTCTCTCTCTCTCTCTCTCTCTCTCTCTCTCTCTCTCTCTCTCTCTCTCTCTCCTCTCCCAAGGACGAGATGATTTATGCGCCTGAAAAAAAGAGACGGCTGGCAGCTTCAACATGTTTCAAAGCTGCGGGTATTCGAGCTTTTTTGCCCCGTTTTTTCACCAGCGCTTTCTTTTCTCGACGCCCAGCCCTTCTCCGAGGAGGACGTTGATTGACCTCTTTTGTTGAGGATTTCGCGGTGACGTGCAAGCAAAATGATTTTCAGAACAAACACTCACCTCCTCCCTGATACAATGCGTAATACCGTCACCTGCTTTCTCTTTCACTCTCTATACATATTTGCCATGTGTTGTGCGGATGAAAATGCAATTTCTCAATGTCACCTTCTTGGTACGCAGACGCATTTTATTTGGCATTCATTTTTATTCATAATACTGTTGCTTGCTGCTTCGAGTAAGCACTTTTATTAGAAAAATTCAGATCTCACTTCAATAACAATTGTTCATGGGAGCCAAATAATTTCGACGTTCACGAAAAGAAACCACCGGATCCAACTGAAAACTATTGGTTTATACGCGAATAGTAAGGCCATGTTTTCTGACAAGACGCAATGTCATTTGATTTGGCAAGGAGCACACATCGTACAATGCCTTGCGTGACATGTCTTCGCTTCGCAAATTTACATCCGTTGCGCCGTTTTGGATGTATATACGCGAGAACTAGATCGTTTTCACTCTTGTGACGATGTGAGTCATCACCTTGCGCTTGTGACATGACAACTTGTTTGCTCTCCTATATAATGTTCTCTGTGAGGTCTCGATTACGTTACACAGCCTTTCAATGTGTTCTGATGTAATTCTATTGTACGAGCAAGTTTTTAAACGAATCAATATGCAATATGTGTACTAGCTGGTCTCGTGTAGTTTTATTACATTATAATTTTCATCGAGACTTTTGCTAGTCATAACTCGAGAAATAAAGTGAGTGAAACGAAAGCATTTTAAGAGATTATAAACCATATAAAAAGCGCATTGACTCGCCGCACGCTTAAACTCATCTAACAGCTGAAAGGTTCCGAGGAAAAACCTGAGGAGAATTTGGACAACTGGTGCATTGAGCGTTCTTCGCATTCCATTGCCGTACCGTTTTACGCGTTTCTTATCTTTTCGAGCTCCATTCCCTTTCTTCATCCCTCCTTTCTTTAGTGCATCTTTTTCGAATTTTCATTTAACTTGCATATATATGTGAAACTAAAAGGATACCGAATGTAGACGCTGATACAATATAGTTATATGTGAGATATAATCAAAGAAAGATTCAATTTATATCGTTTTTCTCTTCCAACAAACTTTCGGACTTTAATTTGCAATTGTGAAGTTTTGTAGTTTGTAAAATGGCTTTTTCTTCTAAAATTCAATCCGAACAAAACTAATTGACTTCTAAATTAACAAAGTCAATTTACATTCCGCGATGTGATCCAAAACTACAATAGCAAATTTACGTGGGATATCGCACAACGAGAATTTTGAAATCCGATTTGAAGCTATTTACGTAAAGTTTACTACGAACGCGAACAAATGTCGAGGAACCAAAGTGACTTCAAAAGTTAAAATACATTTGAGCTTGCGGTCACTTTTGTAGCACAAATATATACGCGAGTGCAGCGGCTTGAGTTTCTGTTATTAATTTAGCTTGGCGAAGTGTGTAAAATCAGCGTATCAACTCGATCGACGCGAAAGTCTGGCTGGATCAGCTTTCAATGGAGAGGTTGGCGAGCTGCATCCGCACAAGGACAAAACGAGGTCACCGAGCTTACTGCAATCGCGCCTCCAACTGAATTCAGAGCAAATATAATGCTGCGAAGCTTGGATTTGCCATTCGATGCGCACGCGGCAACCTCGTCAACAGCTTTCATTTGATTTTACATTTATGGCATTAGACCCGCACCTGCAACTTTTTTTACTTCTTTTAATTTTGGAGTGACGAATATACACGTAGCTCTCTCTCTCTCTCTCTCTCTCTCTCTCTCTCTCTCTCTCTCTCTCTCTCTCTCTCTCTCTGTCTCTCTCTGATTTGATGAAACTCGATAGCAGCGTTGCCACCCGAAGAAACGGGAGCTCATGACTTTTTTTTATTTTCCGATCGCTGCGTGTGGCACGTGTCGTGAAATGACGCCGCGTATTATATACCGTAGGGGAGGAAGGAAGGCGAGAGGCCATCAAAATTTATGACATTCAATATGTCGATGCGATGGTTCGCCGCTAGAATTTCGTATTTTTCACCGAACTCGTAGTCGTCAGTAGTGCTTTGCTCGTTCATGCCGCCTCGCTAATGGTTTGGTGGCGCGCGCGTTCACAGAATGCTGAAGACTTAATATCTGGGACAAGATGAGGCGACACTTGCAATCGATCGACCTCGTCTTTCTCTCGTTCGCATTTGGACTTGTGCTCCGCCTCCCTTTTCTTTTTTGCCAGAGCAAAATGTCGTCGCCTTCTCGCTTCTCCTTTTTTTCCTTCGTTTTCTTCTCTCGCTCGCTGTCGACAATTGTACTTTACTGCTGAAAGTCGTTTGTGGCGCTCTCGGCGATTGCACTTTAGACGTTTTCCTATGATCCGACCGACTGTTACTAATTTTCTCGGAAACAGATAATGTTTTCGTACTTATTGCGAAAGGAAAAGGTTTCTGATTTTGCAAGTTCGCGCACATAAAAGCTCGTGTGATTTCGACTTGTTTGTAGAACCTGTTTTAGATTTACCATTGATAAAAGTTTAACGTGGACAAATCTTACCTTCTTCGCTTCGTTGTTATTGTCGGCAGCGTGGTGTGGCTGTGGACTCATCGCTGCACCATTGCTAACTGCGCCGCTCTGCGACAAGAGCTCATCGCTTCCCCTCTGTGAACAAGCATAAGGAATCTCGTTAGCCAACATCTTCGTTGTAGGGAGCCCAAAAAGCGCATCTCGACACGCGCGAATGTCGCCCCGATCAGTCTGGCGCTCGAGTTGCACGAGCGAGCAAACAACACATACGAAAAAGAAAAAAGACGAGAGGAGATCAGCCAAATGGAATATGCAAAGGCCGTTGCGCTCGGACAAATGCAAGAGATCTGCAGTTGTAAAGTATGTACTGCGTAATCCACGTAAAAGCAGCGTCGCCGTTCTAAAAGCGGTAGAATGCTTGATCAAAGAAGGTAAAATCCGAGGAGGAGCCGTGGCGGGCGGCGACACAAGAAGCGCATAAAAGCTCGCAGGCGCGCGGGCGCGACGGTAGTTAACTGAATGCGGCGAGGAAGGAGCTTTGCTACTATTGCGCTACGCAGAGTGGAACGTAGAGGCTTAGGTAACAGGAGGAGGAGGAGGAGAAGGGGGTGGGCGAGTTATTAAACGCCGCCCGAAGGATTAAAGCGCAAAGAGATCCGTTTACGACGACGAGTTCCGGACGAATGCTCCTTTCTCGGGGGCAGGAGGGGTACCTATACTCAGCTCGCAAGCTCCGTCCTTAAGGAGTTATAAGTCGCTCCGTTAAAGAACTACTACTACTCCCAAGCAATTGACCAAAGTGCATCCCCCCTCTCGCTCTGTCTCTCTGTCTCTCTCTTTTTCTCCAAAATCTTACTTGCTTTTCGCAGTGTACATTCATTACGTGATTATCATTACCGCCGGGGACATGCACGCTAGCTCGCAATCAGGAGCGATTAATTTAACTTTCGCATTTGTCGCTGGATATCTCATAGTCGGGTAATACGCGACTTCAAAGCATAAAGAGACACACCGCGCTTCTCTGACAAAAAAAAAGACAAGTCGACCATAACGATTGATTCGCATGCTTCCTCATTTTTTCCTTTTTTCATCCTCAAAGCCAACGCGCGTGACAAGTGCAGTATCAAAATCGACAGAGAGAACAAAACAACAGCACGGCTTCTTCTTTGAAAAAGTCATCCGTCAAGGGAACATGTTAGCCGCGCACAGGAGAGCGGAGCGCATTCGGCTGGAGTTTGAAAACAAAAGCAAATCGAAAAAACAAGAAAATATATATAAAGAAGGAAACCATCAGCTACTCGTCAGAGCTCAAACGTTCTCATTGGGGTGCACGGTTGCGAGACAAAAAGCGCGCATCTCGGCTTGTTCTTATTCCCCGGATTTACTGTCGGAAGAGCGAGAGAGCGATAGAGAGAGAAAAGCGAGCCAAGTGAAAAATCCGGAAAAGAGACGTGGTCGTGGTGGAGGAAAGGACAAACGGAGTAGTCCATAATCCATACGTCCGCTACGTCCGCGGGAAATAAATAATACAAGAGAGGTCCGGATGTCAGATAAAACTACTTTTCTATCCGCACACGTCGAGGTCGAGTGGAGAGCAAGCAGCAGCAGCAACAGCGACTTCTTCTGTCTTTTCTCTTGTGTTGTGGCGAGTGCGCTATATATACGCGCACACGTACAGAGCCGGTTAGATCTAGAGTGCTCTAAACGAGTATAAGATATTCCGGGATAAAGTGCCTGCTTTATACTTGTTTATGCCCGGATTTCGCGCGCAGAGACATTCTACTCGGCGGCGCCTGCGCAAGCGATCGACAATATATTATTCAATGGATAACAAGCATTCGTCATTTCTTTCTTCGCGACATAAGTCCCAGGATCGATCAATACTCCAGTCAGTGCGGAACACGAGCAGATAGTGGCCGCAAAGAATCGCTTAGCTAAAAATGACGGCCCGGCAGAGTCGATCAATTATAATTAGATTCATAAATGTAGCTGTAGAGCACCGGCGAGAGAGGCAGACGCCCTTTCCGCCTGCGAGCAGATCCATTTGAATCCCTTTTATCGCTCAACGGAATCATCTCGTCAATGAATGCTGCGAGGTCGCAGCAAAAATAATGAGCCGATTTCATGACTTTTCTCCAACTCTCGGTCGGTTAATCAACGAAAGCGAAGCCCCAGCGAGTCATATCAACGTTGTCGACGGGCTATCTCATTAGCGGCCACTAGACTATTCCTTTGAGCTCGTTCAGCCGTCGGAATGATGCGTAGTTATTATAATTTTCGGTTCGAGCTTATAAATTTACTCCGCACGCACGCGTCATCATTATTACACGCACACTCGAGGCGTCAATTCCGAAAGTTAGATCTCAGCAGCAGCCTGCGCCGAGAAAGAGAGAGAAACCGTAGCTTAATGAGGCTCATGATCGGCAGAGCTCCCGCTTCTAATTAATACCGAAGAGATGTGTAAGCCGAAACGGCGCTTCGAGCGGTACATCACGGTTTCGGATTTAACGTATATTCCGCGATGATAATTATTGCCTTGCCAAGCTCGATGTGAACGTTATTATCAAAGAGCAAGAGGACGTTGCGTGAAATTGACAGGCTCAGATGAAATTCCAGAAGAAAGCACTTGTCCAACGTCTGTTAACAATAATCGTAGTTGCGATGCAGATCTCAGAAAAACTATTTCATTTTCAATAAAGTATTCAAACGCGATAGCTCGGCTCGTCAATTTATCTGACTTGATTAGCGCGATCGACATCTACTCGCTTAGAATGAAGCGTCCGTTCATTTTGAATTGACGTTTTGGTACCACTGAATTTCTATCGAGCAGACAAACTGCAGTCTAGAAACAAACAATTGTTTGCTCCGAGCTGACGTTTACGGAGGGAACGGACCGAAGGAAAAGAAGAAGAATATTCGTTCGGTGATCAAGAGCGACATGCAATTTTAAAAAGATTTCGAGTGCCAAGAAAATCTTGCGAGACAGACTAACAGATACAGCAGCTTTTTCACTCCCCCCCCCCCCCCCAGAGAATAGCATTCATCCGTCACGAAAAAGCAATGGCAAACACGAAAGCCCCTTTTCTCGTGCGTCAGCCAAGCCATCAGAAACAGTAGTGCCGTCAACTTTTCTCTCGTTCTTTGGTCATCTCCTGCTAATATTATTTCAACCCGCGGCAGCGCTGGCTACGTGTATCACATCGCGTTGGCTGGGATTTCCTCTTGACCAAGCAGGAAAACAATCGAGATCGAGATTGTCGGGGGAGGGGGGCACAGCGAACGTTGTGAAAAGGGATGGGGGAGGAGGCAAAAGCAACAATTCCGATACAGCCGCCAGCGCAACAGTGGCAGGCCCGCGCAAACAGTCGTGTAGCCGTAAATAATGGATTTATTTTCGAAAACATCTTCTTTCGACGACCAACAGAAGCTTTGTAAACACAGATCATTGCTCATTACACTTAATGGCCTGATCGCCGGATGATGTGTTTTCAACGATACCGGTGAGAACGTTGCTATTTTTAGAAACCAACTCGGAACCGGGATTCCAATTTGTATCTTTGATTATCGGTACACATGTAACGCTGCGAATAACGCTGTCTGCACTTTCGATAAAATCGCCGCAGCAAATGAAGAGTAAATCAGTCGTTGAATAATGTCAAAAGTGAACGAGCGGAAAAAAGAAAAATGTTGCCAAGTCCGAGGTTCCGTTTGTGTTAACGCAGCGAGAGAGAGAGAGAGGAAGTGCTCATAATACTATCAGCGGAATAATTATCGAAGCATACATGCGCGTATAGAACTATATGCATATGCGCGCTACAGCCCAGTCAATACAAATTAGCCATTCGTAAATTAGCTTTTTCCCTTAGAGCAACACAGCGGGATTCGATTAAATGTTGCGCGCTTAATTGAATGCCTCGAGCTCGGAGCGATCATTATATCAGGCCCTGCGGCTGCCTATTCTCCTCTCTCGACGCTAGGAAAAAAAAATTATTTGAAATGCCATTCCGCGATTTATACGTTTTCGTGCATACGCGCGCGAGGCTTTTTAGCGGGCATAAATGGATTTAAGCGTATAATATAATTTAACGCGGCATACGGCCAATATCGCGTAATTAAAGCGCGGAAATCGCGAAATGATGCCCCGTACGATCAACAAAAAAGAGGCTCGTTTTCTCTATTAATTATCGAACTATAATGGGACATAATATTATCAGGATTTTCTTTGGTAGGTTCTCGCTTATGAAATTAAAGGAAATCGTCGAAATGTAGGGAGCACTACTATTGATTAATCATTCGAATGGTAAATCATCTCGTAAATATCGAAGAGGCAGCAGTTTGTCCGCAAAAGTAGAAAATGAGAAGCGAGTTACATGTCAAGTGGAATGACTGGCTCCTAAGAATGAAAAAGGGAAACTTTAAGAAAGAACAAGTGGGTGGAGTGCATCTCGCACTCGCGCGCTGCTGAATAGAACTAATGCATATTTAATTCGTTTACTTAGTGCGAGGCGCTAAACAAAATTTATTCAGCGCTTATTATTATTCTCACTTTTATTAGCCCCAAGCTCGACCAAGTTTATTCAAAGAACCTAAGGAAGACATCACTAGCATTTTTCATCTCCTTCGCGAGCAACGATAGTAAATTTTCAAGTGAGTCGCTTCGACTTTCTCGCTCGCGAGAGTAAGTTTTGCCAGAGCGAGACAAGGAGAAGGAAAAAGTGAGCGCGTTCCGTTTCTTTCACTTTGCACATACGCGCACGAGCAACTTCCAACGTCTGATGTCTTTTTCTCGCCCCCTCGGCGATCCTCCGATAACTTCGTGCTTACGCGGTTACGCCATTCGACCCGCATGAATTTCAAAACAACGCCGAGCTCTGAGCAAGCGCATGCATTGACGCCGCCGTGGAGAATGAAACAAATAAAGGAACCCCGTTGGCGAACCTTCTCTCAAACTTTTACTGGTGAAAATTCCTCCTTGCTGTTTCATCATATTTGATCTATCAAGTGGCAAAAATTCATTTCTTCTTTTCGACAAATCTGGAGCAGAAACACTGCTTAATGTCTTGACACTTTCCAGAGTTGAGTATTTAAATGGCAAAGCAGCAGTGAAGGAACGCGCAAAAACCGAATGAGCAACT